GTTTTTTATATGAACCCACCCAAACCGATATCCGCATCACGCATCACGTTGTGCACGTCACATAGCATTGTTGTATCCTGTCGTGTCTGAATAATTTTAACATATTATACTGCTTCTTACTTCTAGAATATATATAATCTATATATATATATATATATATATATATATATATATATTAGCTCACATTGTTAAATATTGGCTCTAAATATTGACAAATTATTATATTAAATGTCTTGAGCGAACTACTAGATCGATATATATATTTGATGGCTCAAATTATTCTGTGTGATCTGTAAGTTTTTTGAAATATGGATGATTGGCTGAAAATGTTGTAATTTAATTTTTTTTTCTGGATTTTTGTTAGTTTCATGTCATATGAGTCGCTTATTTTAAAAGTGAACCGTACAGATTTTTATGGAAATCCAGATAAATATAGATTGCTATGTAAAAATACTGAATGAATGCTATGATTTTCTTTTAAAAAACGGACCCGAATATTCAGAAAAGTGGAGTGAAAATAAGAATATTTCCGAATCGGCTTTTTTTTTTTTTTAAAGGAATGTAATGAAACTTAAGTTTTTCATTGGTTTTCTTTAAAAATGATCCATCAAAAACTTATATTAAACGTATTTTTTAAATAAAAATTTATAATAAACTTATTTTATTGTACCATTATTGCAATCAAAAAGTCAATTTTTTATAATACACTTTTCCCTCTGAATCATAGTCTATTTTTCCTCTCCAAACAATTATCCTTCAAGCATTTTTTTCGTTCGAAAATTGGTCTTGAAATTTATTTATTTTCAAAAGGCATCCTAATTAATCTTTTTTAATTACTATTGAGATTTTCGGAAATTAGTGCTGTATATAAAGAAATTTTTTAATTTATTATTTAAAAAATATTGGTTTTGATATTACAGTTGGAATAAGAAATATTGTATTTTATTTTCCTTCAAAATTATCAATGATGACCAGGGTTCACTTTGGAAATAAACGACTCGCATCATATGTCAGTTCATGATCAGTCGTGTTGTATACGAATTGTCAATACTTATAAAATTAGAAAGTTTAAAATAAAAAATAATTAAGTTAAGAAATAATCTAAAGTAAACAAAATGTATTGAGCAATTCAATAGACGTTTAAATTTGAATGATTTGAAAGAAAAACTCAGTACAACTGGAGCGGTCCGGGGTCTCCGAATATTGACGAATAATATTATCGAATCGAAGTGAAGGACCTATAAAGAATCGCTTATAGAATATGATCAATCAATATTTCATGGTCTAAAAGTTAGGAGGTTAAGATGGGCGCGGCATGTAATCTATCAGGAAGCCTCTCCACAACAATGGATGCTCCAAATAGTTGCCAGGAGACCACGTGGAAGACCAGAAGATCTCAATGGATTTGATTGAGAGCTTCAGTTTGAGTTATTTATTGCTATGATAGCTTGAATATTGTTACATTAATAATATTTATATATGTTGTTACCTTAACTTAAAGAATTCTTAAATTTATTATTTTGTTTTTTCATGTCTTAGATAGATAGAAAATAAACTTTGTTCTGAGACAAAGTCCCTTAAGAATAACAATTATGAACAAAAAACAAATCTGGCCAAAAAATACACTAATAAAAATATTGGTGCTTATTCGGACTCTGAAATGGACCATGAATCTCTTGTAATGAAAATGGCATTATTTGAACAAGAACGTATTCTTTAACAAATAAATTAATATTATATCCTATTTTATATCGCTTATCCGTAATAACTTTTCAAAACCATTATATTTTATAGGAGAAGCAAAATACAATTAACTTTTTTTGTAATGTAGAAATGCACACAGGACCTAACTTTTATATATTGTAATTTGAATGGAGATGATATAAAATTTATACATAAAACAAAAAACATTTAACAACGAGAACATTTAACACCCAAAAATGTTACGCCATTTTGAATTATCAAATGACACAACGCGCCATCTAGCGGCTTTTCTTAGATATTTAGGACCCCTTTTCTTGTAGGAAGGTACATTTAAGTCACACCTATTTATTTATGAAAAAAAACTATATTACGCTTGAGGGAAACGTAACGGTAAGGTTCAAGGAAACGGAAGGAGTGACTTGGAAATTAAACCGCTTAAATATATATATATAAACCTGTAAAATAAATATATATATATATATATATATATATATATATATATATATATATATATATATATATATAAACCTGTACCACTACAACCCAGGAAGGGCTTACTATTTAGGGAAAGTACTGGGAGGGGATTTGACCGAGATCACGTTCAACCGCCAGGTTTTTCCCCATAATAATTATTTTAATTATGGGTACTCACTTTATAGAGGCTGAATATGCCCCAGGAGGGTCTACCTACCTAGGGTCGCCTCACGGTCAATGAAACAGAATAAATAATTGTTCTGCCATGACCAGCGATTCGAACCTGGTACCTTTAGCATTCCAAGCTCAGTATCCTATCACTGAGCTACCCCACTCCTCAAACAGCATTAAATATAATATATTAATAAAAGGTAAGTATTGTTATAATAGAAGAGTGGTTGAGGAGATTTGGGTTTAATGTAAACAGTTTCTCATACTCATTGTTATCTGTCTTTTTCTTAGCCCCGATGAAGGCCTGAACTTTGGGCCGAAATGTCGGCAAAAATAAATGTAATTTTTTATTTTTACATTTTGTTGACTGAATATCGCAACCAATCTTCCCATCAATCCACAATTATTATTATGATATATTAAACAGCTGATTAAATTTCTGTATTTTATTTAATACCGAACCTCCTCCTTGTGTTCATCAACTGTCTCATATACAGGGCTGCCCATCTCCCCAAGGTCGATGGCGCATAAACCTTCCTCCACCAATCCCAAAATATTTAATTGCCTTCTACTTCTCAAAAACAATGCAAAAAAAAAGGAGAATTTAAAAGTTCGTATATCATATACAATTACACATCTTGCTGTTTGTCCCATGCTTCCACTCGTCTTTTGATTTGAAACTTTTATTTTCCAAAATTTATATTTATAATCCCATCAAAATGTCCCTCTCCCCCCTCAACAAATCAAAATCCCGTCAAAAGTTACCCTACTCAATAATTTTGATGGAGCAATTTACTCCATGAAACCACCTTCTGGGCACCCCTACTCATATATATTCATTAATATTTAAAAAAAAATTCTATTCACTTGTTGTTAACAAAACTATTATAATTTACAATTGTCATATGTGGCACCTCACGTGGAATGAAAGAAATGTTTGAAGCCATTAAGATTTAAAAGCAGTCCCGATACCACACTTTCCATAGTTCAGAAGCATTGTAATGCACGGAATTACCCTCGTGTTTAAATTTTAAATAATAAATTCGCGACATGAGAATAATTTAAAATTTTAAACTATAATCAAAGTTCTGTTCTTTCTGCTATATATAATAGAGGCCGTGGCTAAGAACATTGAGGTGAAGGTTCGTAGTGGTTCGTATTGGTGTGGGTTCGATTGCCAACGAGGCATTAGATATTCATTTTACGGAGGTCTCTGTGGATAGGTTGTTATTAATACCAGACTGATCATTGATTTTCACAAAGAAAATGTATACTCTCTTTAGAAAACCTGAGAAAAATCGACGCCCTGAAAATGAGTAAGAAATTATAGCTAATATATTTGTAAGGTATAGTCCTTTGTGCGGATATATAATATATTCCCGCTCACGTTTGAGAGACGATGGATGATGTCGACTTTTGTTCAAGGACATAAATCCGTTGGATATCTCCAAGAGGACGATGAACGCTACTACCCCGTGTGTTCTTAAATGCTCCTGAATAGTACATGGTTTAGGTTAATCCACCGTTTATAGTCAGAACCGATTATAGTGGTTTACATTTAGCTTTATTGATTATTACGTCTTGCTAATTAATTTTTTTTTTTTTTTTTATTGAGTATTAATATAGTCTGCCATACTGAAGGGCATTGATACTAGGGCTATAGTATTCATTCACGCAATATGTACATAAGAAAGGAAAATAAATATAAATAACCAAGTAAGAAAAAAAAAATATATAATAAAAAGACAAAGTAATATACAAGATAAGTAAAATAACAGATTAAAGCCGAATGATAATAAAATAAATAAAACATATTCACACCTATGTACAATATTTACATTGGCCCAGGGGACTCCGAATCAAGCTTTGTTCCCCAAATGTGTAAGCCAAAGCAGGACTCCAGGAGAACCCAGTGCTTCTCTCCCAGTCGCGTCACTGGTTCCAGTTGAGATAAATTTTTAATTTTTAATAATTAATAAAGATAAATTTTTAATTCTCTTATATTCTTGTATTTCTAGATAAAGGTGTTACCATAACTGTCGAATTGTAGGCTTATGTTAAAATTTATGCATGTATAACAAAATAAATAAAAAGTTTTTCTTTTAAGATAAGATACTATTAGTGTTGTCCAAAATAGGTCTTGGTCTTGCACTTTGCAAGACCAAGACCAAGGCCGCCTAACTGTTGCAAGACCAAGACCAGGACTTGTAAAAAAAAATCGATGTTTTTAATAAAAAATTAAGGCAAAATAGTTACTAATACTTGGCAATTTTAGTTACTATATGATAATAATTGATATAACCAATATACTTTTGCATTTAACTCCTTCAATTTTTCATTCGGGCCTGGTTAGGTTTCTCCTATCTAAAAATTACAGTAATATTTCTGTAGTATTAAGCTGATAAGATACTGCAAGACTGCTGCTAGACTCTTGCGCAAGACCAAGACTCAGTTTGCAAGACCAAGACTCGTCTCGGTCTCGCATTTGGGCAATACTAGATACTATGGACTTTGGAAAATTTTAACTTGATATAAATAAATCGAATTGCACACATTTGTTACAGAATATCATTTAGGTTTTGTAATTTAAAATGTTTGGAAGCGAAATTACATGAAACCAAGGCACCCTGAAACTTAAGGAGCCTACTCACCAAGAAGAAAGAACAACCAGAGCTGTGAACTTGAGGACTATTCGGGCGGTACTGGTACCGAAGACATGCCGAAGAACAATGGACCATTGAATCCCTCCATATAGTTCAGATAACAGTTACCAGCTATCTCCTTGATGATCTCTTCTTTACTTTCTAGTCTGTATCAGTGTCACACTTAAAATTAACATCCAACTCTTATTCACGAGCCGAAGCTTCTAGAACTGCTGGAGTGGACGAATGGTTAGTCCTTGAATCATCGCGGGCGAAGGTTTGATTGTAAATTACGAAAGTGCATGTGATTCTGAGATAAAAGAACCTTGTCTGCCGTTCCAGAGTCCCTGATTTCATAAATGGCGGCTGCTTTAAAGAATATCAGGCCAAGAATTTGTGGATCGAAACGGGAAATCCATAGCGAAAAATGTGAGAAAAGATTTAATTTTTTTAACATGTATATATGGGTTTAGACATAACCTAAAAATAACATTAGCAAAAAACAGCAAACACCAAAACATAAATTTTACTATTTTTTTTTTTTGCTTTTTCACCTATAACTCCTAAAGATGCATGTAAGCGAAAAATGTTCTTTTAATAAATTAAAGAAAGTTAAATTTTGCGTCGAACGAGTATATAAAATTTATAATTTGGTTATATTGTAACGTATAAAACCTCGGTAACGAACGCTGATTTTTACTAAATTTATCAAAAATAAGAAAAATTACTATAAATGGCTATGGTTTCAAAGCATCGAATTATGCGTCCACTGAGTCAAATTTTGGCTGACCGTGGTCTTAGGCCTTACCACGTAATCAAATTATAAAGTTTATGAACTCGTTCGACACAAAATTTAACGTTCTTTAATCTATTAAAGAGAACATTTTCCGCTTAAATGCATCGTTTAGGAGTTATAGGTAAAAAACAAAAGCATATTGAAAAAATCTGACTTTTTTGCTGTAAAAAGTTTTCCCTTGGTGGCCCACATTAGCAATTTTATTTTTACATTTCTAAACCCATATAAAACAAGTTTAAAAAATAAAAACTTTGCTCACATTATTCGCAATGGATTTACCGTTTCGATCCTCAAATTACTGGGGTAATATTGTTTAAATTAGCCGCCATTTTTGGAAGTAGCGACTCTGGAACGGCAGACTTTACTCAGAACAACAATGCTATACTTTAGTAATTTACAATCAAACCATCGTCTGCGATGAGTTCCATTTTTGGGCCTTAGCTGCAGGGCTAGCCAGGAAAAGGTTTGAGTAGTGTATGTTATTCCAAGTTAAATGAATCTCATCTGCCATTCCAAATCCGATGAATTTGAACATGGCAACTGATTTAAAAAAAAAAAATATATATATATACAAACAGTATACAATATACAATAATATACAAACAACAAAAATACAACTTTTAGAACACCTAGGAAGAACCGTTGGCAACCAAATACATCAGAGCTTTAGGTGTTTGGTTTTTCGCCTATAATTCCTGTATGGTAGTGCATCGTAGCGAAACTGTCAATCTATTATAAATGAAACAACATATAACTTTGCGTGGTATGAACACCGAAATATAAAAAAATAAAGTGTGTGCTTTAGACCACTCGATAGAAGTGAAAACATGAACAAGGCGAGATTAATAATATGAAATTTAAATTTAAAATAATAGCTCATTATAAAGAGGATGAAATGGTGAACAATTTCTTCACTTACAGTATGTAGGTCCAATTTTTAATTTCTGAGATATATTAATCCACATCTTACGTTAAAACTCGTCACCATTTGGTTTTCGACAATATTTTTCCTTTTCGCTTCTCTAACACGGCGTCGCGTTAAGATAGAATTTTGAGTATTTTATAAAAGTTTTTGAGATATTTTAATCCATATGCACAAACACTTCAATTAATGCACTCCGGTTGACTTTACCTGAGCGTTACACATCGAAGATCTGACGGTTCCATCTATTTCACTCTCCACAAAAATATGCAAAACGCATCCAACAAAGTGTTCACTTCAATTATCCAGTCAAGTGGTATGACCGAAACCCAATGTCAAATGACGATTTTTAACAACTTTGTCAAAGACAGAGATATAGTACTATATTTAAGTGTGCCGCCACAAAATAAGTTCTATATAAGAAAAAGCTCACAGATTCAATTGTTACACATCAAACTCTAAATCCATTCAGTACCAACATTTTTAAATTAGGTGAAGTTCTCTTCCAGAATATATATTCAACTCTTCAACAAATAGCCAATTAATTTCAAATTAAAAGCCAGTGCATTATTATTATTATTTTAAGAATAACTGGAATTGAGGAATTTCAACTTAACAAATCGTCGTTTATGAAGATCTAAACAAAAATGTTAAGAACTAAATCAGAAACTGCAATGCAGAATATATATATATACTTTGTAAGATATATATATATATATATATATATATATATATATATATAAATTTTAAACTCCATTTTTATTTCAAACCAACATGTTAACAAATTCCAATAACCTGTGTCTTATGTAATAGTGATCCAGATTCCATGATTTTTAAGTGAAAACTTTTTTAGGCGCGTTTTGCACTTTTTTTGTGGAGAGTGCATTAGATTGATCCGTCAGATTTCCGAAGTGTTAACGCTCGGTTAAAGTTGGCTAGAGTTGACTAATTAAAATATTGTTACATATGGATTAAAATACCTCAGGAACTAAAAATCAGGCCTGCATACAGTTTTTTTAAATTTTTATTTTTATTGATAAATATTACATTCTGTCTCTAAGGACATTGTTAATAGTGTTCAGAGATCACATTCACACTCTATGTACAATAAATAAAGTCAATTATACAGAAAAATGATATATATACAATAAATAAGAATAAAATAACCTAAAAATAAATTAATAAAAAGAACCCATACCTATATACATTATTTACAATCTGGCGAGAGAATTCCGAGCCAGATTTGTCCCTCCAAATGTGAAGGGAAAAGCATGACTCTTGGAGATCCCTGCACTTCTCTCTCAACCGCGTCACCGGTGCTAAACCCAGTGGAGATTGAGCAAGAGTGTTTTAGCCTCATACACTCATGTCGTGAGTGGAGAATCTTCGGCGGTACATATACTAAAATTGGAACGATACAGAGAATATTAGTATATCCCCTGCGCATACTGTAAGCATGGAAATTGTTCAGTATTTCATCCTCTGTAATGCGCTTTAATTCAAAATAGTGTTGAAAACTGTAGACTTTTATATACACGTATACCTCAGAATGCCCTTTTTTGTTTATTCTCAGTTTTAAAAGTTCTTTTAAAATTGAAAACTTATGTGCCCCCTCCCCCAAAAAAAATTCATATGGCGCAACTTGCGCCATTCAACCTCCCTCTGGCCAGCCCTGTTCGCTCCCACTATCCTCTTGGGCATTATGCATAAAAAGTAACGGCTGAGGACAGAATAATGTAATTACTTATAGTTTTTTTTTAATCTAACACCTATCTTAGTATAGTATCTTACATATATATATCATAGTACAGGTTTTCCCGAGGGACTTATGACATTTCTGTTTTCCTATCTTGCTACGATCGACTAGAAATTATAGATCGACAAGTTAACATTGAACTCTCCGTAGGAGGAAAGTTGGGCTCAATACTTATCGAGATGAAACTTCACTACAGAATGAAATAATCTGCTGTTTGTTAATTTTGTCGTATTGTGCCCTTTTCCAATTCTCAGGAGCGATGGATTTTAATAAACGAGACATCAAAAGAAATACAAGAACAGGAATTTCAAGTATTGTTTGATGAAATGTATTTTTCATACTTTACAATCTATGGGACTTGCCCAAAGAATGATTTGAAAAACAAAAATTAATACATTGTTAAACAAAAGTTCTTTTATTTTTACAATAATTTGTAACTGTTAACTGTTGTAACTGTCAACGGTTGTATGTTGAAGGACAACACCTACACCAGCAATCAATAACTTTGGTTGTTTAAGGATCTCTCATCCAGCGCTTTTTTAGTCACCTTAGTATGTGTTTCAATTCCTCTTCCCTACTCAGACACAGTCCGATACCTTGGCTTCCTTTTGGACAAAAGACTGACTTGGAACCCACATACGAGACTTAAAAGACAAGAGCTTAACCGACGATTTGGTCAGCTATATAGACTACTAAACAGAACATCTCATCTCTCAACAGAAAACAAATTATTAATCTACAAGACCATACTGAAACCTATCTGGACCCCTACGGACTTGAACTGTGGGGGACAACTAAATCATCGAATATCAAACGCATCCAATCCTTCCAGTCCAAAGTCCTTCGAAAAATAGTCTATGCTCCATATTATGTCACGAACAAGACCCTACACCATGACCTTAACATCCCATATGTCCATGACATCATGCCATCCAGATTCTCCAACTTTCACCAGAACCTCATTCATCATCCCAATCCTCTAGCGCAATCCCTATCCAGCTCTGAGCATCCATACCATCCCCCTCGAAGGTTGAAACGGCAGTGGCCTCGAGATCTTTTGTAAATATGCCTTTGGAGTCCTGGCAATGGCCAGCTTCTCCACTCATGTCCTGAGCGTCTGTGGCTGTAGTGCCCTCTTTCAGTCTCCACTGGCTTCTAATACAAGTGATGCGGCTGGAAAAGTGGCACTGGGATCTTCCGGAGTCTTGCTTTGCCTTCCGCGTGTGGAGGGAAAAGCCTGGCTCGGAGATTCTTGGGCAAATGTATATATTGTATATAGTTATGATTTTGTTTAGAAGTTTTTATTTTATTTTATTTGTTTTGTTTTTTTTATTTACCTTCTTCATCAGTATTATTTATTTACTTCTTATATTTATATTTATTTCTTTATTATTTGTATATATTTTATGAATGAGAACTTTTAGCCCTAATGCTTATAGCCCTCCAGCAGTGGCTGATTGTATTATTATTCAATAAATAGATTTAAAAAAAAAAAAAAAAAAAGAGACATGTGTAGCCATAACTGTTGGTATGGCCGTTTAAATTTGTATAAAAACGTTGTTGGTAAAGATTCGTTATGTATTGATGAGCTGTTAGCAGGTGGAAATAAGAATGTAGAATTTAACGTGGTTTCATTATTTAATCCACAAATTATCAAAAAAACAAATCGATTGGTATATGACAACTTAGAAATCCATGCAGAGCAAAGTAAGTAATATAAAAAAAATAATAACATTTAAAAAAAAAATCTCGCCACATTGAGCACATTGCCAAGAACCCTCTTAC